CCCCTCCGTGTCCCCTCCGTGTCCCCGCTGTCACCTCCAGCTCCCTGCTGGCCACCAGGAAGATCCGTGCCCTGATGTCCTTCCAGCGGCTCTCGGTCCAGGTGGAGAATTCCCGGGAATCCCAGCGGCGCAGCTCGAAGGCCGGGGACAGGGCGGGGCTCAGGCGGGCCCCGGAGCGGACACAGCCCGGGAGCCGCGACGACGAATTCCCGGCCCGGGGACCCTGCACCCACCAGTACTCGAACAGCTGCGGGAGGGGCCCGAGAAACGGGAATTAGGGCGGGGAAAACGGGAATTACACATGGAAAAACGGGGATTACACACGGAGAAACGGGAATTGTACACGGAGAAATGGGAATTGTACATGGAGAAACGGGAATTACACACGGAGAAACGGGAATTACACACGGAGAAACGGGGATTGTACACGGAGAAACGGGAATTACACACGGAGAAATGGGAATTAGGGCTGGGAAAGGGGAATTACAGCTGGGGAATGGGAATGAGAGCTGGGGAAATGTTTTTTCTCCAAGAATCCTGGCCCCAAACCCCAATCCCAACCCCAGGATCACCTCGGGCTGCGTTCCCGGGGTTTTCCCGGGATCTCAAACCCCAATCCCATGATCCCAAACCCCAATCCCAGGATCCCAGGATCACCTCGGGCTGCATTCCCGGGGTTTTCCCGGGATCCTGGCCCCAATCCCGGGATCCCAAACCCCAATCCCATGATCCCAAACCCCAATCCCGTTATCCCAAACCCCAATCCCATGATCCCAAACCCCAATCCCATGATCCCAGGATCACCTCGGGCTGCATTCCCGGGGTTTTCCCAGGATCCTGGCCCCAATCCCGTTATCCCAAACCCCAATCCCGTTATCCCAAACCCCAATCCCATGATCCCAAACCCCAATCCCAACCCCAGGATCACCTCAGGCTGCATTCCCGGGGTTTTCCCGGGATCCTGGCCCCAATCCCATGATCCCAAACCCCAATCCCATGATCCCAGGATCACCTCTGGCTGCATTCCCGGGGTTTTCCCGGGATCCTGGCACTGCTCCCGGCTCAGGTTCAGCCGGCTCCCGGTCAGGTTGGCCAGCACTGCCTGCAGCAGCTGCGTGGTGTTGGTGGGGCTGGACACGGCCACGTAGTGCTGGGGAAACGGGCCTGGAAAAATGGGAAAAACGTGGGAAAACGATGGGAAAAACAGGGGAAAACAACGGGGAAACAACGGGAAAAACGTGGGAAAAACGTGGGAAAAACAACAGGAAAAATAATGGGAAAAACGTGGAAAAATAATGGGAAAAACATGGGAAACAATGGGAAAAAAGTTGGGAAAAACATGGAAAAATAATGGGAAAAACATGGGAAAACAACGGGAAAAACAACAGGAAAAACAATGGGAAAAACATGGGAAAAATATGGGAAAACAGGAATGGGAATTATGCCCACATAGTGCTGGGGAAATGGGCCTGGATAACAGGGAAAAATGTGGAAAAATAATGGGATAACAACGGGAAAAACAGGGAAAAACAACAGGAAAAACGTGGAAAATAATGGGAAAAACAATGGGACAAACATGGGAAAACAACAGGAAAAACACCAGGAAAAATGTGGGAAAACATGGAAAAATAATAGGAAAAGCATGGAAAAATAATTGGAAAATGGGAATGGGGACATGGCCA